ACGGATCAGCTCTATAGGCATGACGAAGCGGATATCGTCCTCTTTTGGAAGGCCAAACAAAGTGGTTTCGCTTTCACAATGAAACACACAGCACTACTACAACAATACTACTGCGAGAATAAAAGTTACGCCTTCTTTCTTTGCGTAAACATTTGGGCCGCGTTATGCAAATCTTCCCACATCTTGACAGACATGTGGGGGTGTTAGAATGAGCCGTTTTATGTAGGCGTGGTTGACTCTTAACTTTTATAAAGAATATCTCTTTGGATTTGAGACTTTAGTCTTTGCAACTTTACAGATCTTCTTTATGCACCAAGAGCTTGTAACACTCCAAAGAGAAAGGAAAAATTGAAATCGCATCATATGACCCCTTTAACGCAAACATATGTGTTTCTATTGTGTTGTACGTGCATGCCTTGGACTTAAACTGACTGAGTTATGCATTTCTGTGATTACAAATAAGCCGCGAATAAGCTTACAAATAAGAAGCAGCCGCGACTAAACAAGTAGCCTATGTGTTTCTTTTTATGTCAAATTATACATAATAATTGGATTTGGCATCACTGATGCAAATTTCTGTCACTATAACATTTTTATCGTTAATCATTGGTAAAATATCGATGCTGGAGTCTTTTAAAATCTTTGTAAGGACGAAACGTCCGCTTCGGTCAAGTTCATTTTGCAATAGTTTGAGCCTGGTCTCATGAAAATGCGTATAATAGTACGTCAAATAAAAACAGAAAACCGTGGTATTGATAAGCAAAAATTGACTTTGGCGTGCATATGAGACGCACGTGTTTGGCGTGCATATAATAGGCCTATGCAGTTTTCGATTTGTTGGCGTGCATATAATAAGCAGTTTTCGCGTGCATATGATGCGAAATTTGTTGGCATAGGCCTACATATGATACAAAGTCCATTTTTGCGTATAAACAGTACGCCAAATCGAAACAAAACTCGTGCTATTGATATGCACTTTCCATGAGATCGGGTTGATAGTTTTCATTCATTTTGTTTGTGATGTTGTGTGACGTTTGCTTAAGAGAGGCGTGTTAAGGGCGGGTTTTTAGAGGAGCGCTGGCCCGACAGTGAAAACGCAGCATGATTTTGGGCCCGCG